TAGTGTTGCATTGGCAGACCAATATTTACAAATCTTACTCATTGCTTCAATACGATAGGCATAATTCATCTTGGTAAAGAAATAACATTTGGTTGAGGAACAATAGGTAGTTCTATAACTTGAATCATCACCGTAATTAATATTTGGTGGAAGAGCAACTGTGGTTGAGTTGATCACTCCACTTGGTCCCTTAACAGTTCCTTGTGTGTATTGTGAACCACCCGACATACCATAAGTAATAACACCTTCAGGAATATCACCAGCAATACTCAATGTATAGGTATCTGATGAACCAGCTGCAATTGTATATGAATTTGGAAGTGATAAGAAAGTGAAACCATTCAAATTAGTGGTAGTGTCTTGACCAATGAAAACTGGGAAGTATGGATCATAATTTACAAAGTTATCTTGATTGTAACCAGGTTGTAATCCTAAGGTAAATCTTTGTAAAGCAGGTGCTGATGAAGAGACACTAACACGATAAGTGAATGTTGAAATGGTTGCTTCATAATTAAGGTAACTTGATTTGGACAATGTCTTTCCAAGATATTGAATAGAATATCCAGAACTTGAAAGTGGAACAAGAACGTTGGTTTGAGTGGAATCGACAAGATTACAACTATTATCAATAACAGTTTGATAAACAGAGCTCAAATCAGACCAATCGACAACAATTAAATTGTTTGGATCGTAATTCATCTTTTGAATTTGAAGTTGTCCATACCCTGAACTCAAACCATCACCAATACCTACAACTAATTGTCTCCAATTCCAAATAGATCCATAAGTTGATTTTTCTGGATTTGAAGCACCTCCAACTGTCCAAGAATTCAAATCAGTTGATCTAAGAGTAGCATCAGAACAAGGATTACATCTACTGAGTGGCTCATTCCATGAGCATATTGTTGCATCAGTACCTGGGAAACGAGGTGATTTACAATAATTAGGAACAGATCCATATAATGACTTATCACTACCATACATGGCACGACAAGCTCCCATACCACAAGGTAAATTGGACATACCATCTGTAATGTGAATTAAGAGTTTTCTAGTGATATCCTTTCTACCTTGACTTAAAACCATTGAAACAGCATTGTTAATACCTAAAATTGAGTTGGTACTGGATTTGAGTTGACCAGCTGATGAAATGGCATTAAGAACAGCTGTCTTGGAAGTACCATCTTTCAAATCCAAGTGAGTTACAGTTGTTGTAGAGAATTGAATGATACCAATCTTGGTGGCAGTTGGTGAAATGTTTGAACCAAATCCAACAGTTAAATTGGATGCAAAGTTTTGCATGTTAATCCAATTTCCTGCATCAATAGATGAACTACCATCCAAAACAAATACAATATCCATATTCAAAGAACATGTACATTTGGTATAAGAAACTGTAACAATAGCTGTGGCAGTTGTTGAATCAGAATCAGATTTGATACCATAAACGAATTTTTGAGAATTACAAGATCCCTTAATTGGTTGAACTCTGATGATTCTTGTATTTGCAGGATCAGATGGATTGAGAATAGTTGGAGTGCCTGCTGTACAATAAGTTGAATCAC